AACTTAAGTGCCTGCAAAGGAAGGGACATTTAAGACAAGTATGAGATTCAGTCTTTGCTCTCAAGAAGTTTACACTCTTCTGGATTGTACCATACAAAAATGTTTTTATTGGTGAAATCATTTTTTTAAGGTCGCATCACCATTTTGTTCACTCAGTCTGTAATTGGATATGCCAGCACTAGCAAAGAGTAAAAGCATAGCATCAAATTCTATTATATGCCATGAAAATTAATTCTATGAAACACCAGAGATTCATGATAGCCAGAGTAGCCAAGGATGGCCTCCCAGTTGCATCAAGAATGGATCTGAGCCTCAAAACCAAAATAAAATTTAAATAAGTGCTAAGGAAAAAAAGCGAAACTCCAGATAGATAAATAGCATGGGTAGAAGAGCAAGACTAAGCATATTCTACATAGGGGAAAGTTTGCTCACAATATATAATATATATATACAATACATATATATATATATATAGAGAGAGAGAGAGAAAGGGAAAATAATTTAGATTGTGTTGAATCAGCTTAGGGAGACACCTGTGCAGCAAGCAAAATGTAAACTCTTGTTTTATCTAGTTCATTCTTATATCGAGTATCTGGGACATGGTAGTTCAATAGAATCTTATGAAATGAATGAGTAAAGAGGTCTTATTCTTGATAAGATAAGAATTCACCAAAGACTTGAGGAGAGAGATACATAGTGAAAGTGACCATGAGATGGGTTCGTAGATATGCTGGATGGATCAGAAGCAAATTATCAGCCTCCTGGAATAAAATTAGATTATTTCGTTAATTTAGAAAGAAGTGGGAAAAGCCTGGGGGAAAGAATCTTACACTAGAGACATTTGAAGGAAAGTAAGTAGGAACCATGAAACATTATACTATGTGAAAGAAGCCAGGCACAAAATAATCACATATTATATGATGAACGATATAGAATAGATAAATCTATAGAGGCAGAAGTAGAAACTAGTTACATAGGGCTTAGGGTGGGAGCCTAGAAGAAGGGGAGAGAATAGTTACTACTAAGTACCAGGTTTGTAGGGTAATTGATGAAGCGTTCTAAAATTAATTGTGGTCATAGTATAAACAACCCTGTGGATAAACTAAAACCCACTCAACTGCAAACTCTCAACAGATATTGAAGTTACATTCTTTAAAAAAAGATAACCGAATCAATATAATGTGGCATATAGAAGATGTATATGTTTAATAAAGAAAGAGCCACCTCACAATTTTTAGTTTGATTCTTATTGTACTAACAAGAATGTCTAGGAACATTATTATTACTTAATTTTATTTTTGGAGTATTGGGTCTCTTAATTAGTCATGAAACACACATATGCATGCATCCATGCCTAGTCAGTTCCTGAAACTGTGTATGGTTCTTTGAGCACCACCAGGAGTGACCCCTGAGCACGAAGTCAGAATAAGCCTGGAAATTACTGGGTGTGATCCAGAAATCTTGCCCCCCAAAATAATGAGTGTTTGTGAAAATTCAGCAAAATAGTCATATTTTAGATATCCACAAATGCCAGTTTATTCTACTTTATAATAGTCACAAAAATATACTGTGATCTCAAAATAACCCAAATAGTAAATATGATGACTTGTAGAAGAAAAAAAAACGATCATTTTAATTTAGGCATAGTAAATCAAGATTTAATAGATATATATTTTGGGTTCTTTGATAGATGAAATATTATAAAGATGGCAATCCTTATAGAAACCTCTAAAGCTTATCAGAGTCTAGATAGGAGTAAATTTACTTAGCTGGTTAGTGTAAATTTGGTGAAATATAATTCAGAGATCTTCAAGAATTCTTATACCCATTGTCCCAAGAATGTCTTCTAGATACAGAAAATACTCATGTTCAGATGCCCCCACAGAGTTTCTCCTTGTCTCAGGTGGAATCTCACCTGACTTCCATGGGGTTCTTCTGCTCATTCTCAGCACATCATTTTCCCACCTGCTTTCAAGACTGCTTTATATCCTAATGGTTTCTCCTTAGTGAACTATTGTTTGTAGGGCCTCTCCATCAGTGTGGCATTAACCTTGGTTGTTTAGGGAAATGTGAAATAACTAAAACCAAACTCGGCTGAAGTGCTGTTACCACAAACGCCTTATGACACATTAGAAAGTGTTTGCTGGTGGTTGAGTAGAGGATTTAGTGGTGGTTGTTTCGTAGAAAGTTGGTAGCTTGTGCTGGTGTCAGGAACACCCTTTACCAGTGTTTACTGGAGTTAATGGTCATTGAGACAGCATAACTAAAAGGAGGTCTAGTTATGGCTTCCTACCAGCAATAGAGATGAGAGTAAATTTAAGAATAGTGAAAAGCATTCTCTGAAAGAACCTGAATAATTTCTATGCTCTTTTAAGAAAAAAAAACTACTCTTATAACCAATAAACCTATTTTTTTCTATTCACGTTCTGTATCATAATGCAAAAATAATATAGATAGGGGTTCTTCTCTTTTTCCATACCCCTCAGAGATCATTCCTGGCAGGCTGGGGCTGGGAATTGAAACTGGGCCAGCCGCCTACAAGGCAAACTCCCTACCCACTGTACTATCACTCCAGAGGGATAGTAAATATCTCTCTTTTTTTTTTTTTTGCTTTTTGGGTCACACCCGGCGATGCACAGGGGTTATTCCTGGCTCATGCACTCAGGAATTACTCCTGGCAGCTCTCGGGGGACCACACGGGATGCTGGGAATCGAACCCGGGTCAGCTGCGTGCAAGGCAAACACCCTACCCGCTGTGCTATCGCTCCAGCCCCAAATATCTCTTTTTTAATATAAGATATTAAAAAAATTTGAGGCACTATAGTTTACAATACTATTTGGATAAGTTCTGTGCCACTTCCCTCCATCATTGTCTCATTGCTCCCGCTTTTCATACACACCCTTCCCCCATCCCATCCCCCTGTAGTAAGTGCAGTTCCATAGATACATTATTTTTTTTTATTAGTGAAACACCATGAGTTACAATTATAGACTTACAAATCTTTGTGCTTGGGTTTCAGTTATACAATGATCAAGTACCCATCCCTCCACCGACGCCTATCCTCCACCACCACGGATCCCAGCATCCCTCCCACCCCCCATCCCCCTCATCCCACCCTGCCTCTGTGGCAGGGCATTCCCCCTTGTTCTCTCTCTCTTCTATTGGGTCCTGTGTTTTGCAAGAGAGGCATTGAGTAGCAATCATGTTTGGCCTATAGTCTACTTTCAGCATGCTTCTCCCACCCTGGGAGGATCCTCACAACACCCTTTGTTTGGTGCTCTCTTCTCTATCTGAGCTTCCTTTTCCCCTAGCACGTGTGGCTGGCCTCCAAGTCATGGAGCAAAATTCCTGGTACTAATCTCAGCCACTCCTGGGTGTTAGTCTCCCATTTTGTTGCTTTATGTTCCCCAGATGAATGCAATCTTTCTGTGCCTATCCCGCTCTTTCTGACTCATTTCGCTTAACATGGACTGGAGCGATAGCACAGTGGGTAAGGCGTTTGCCTTGCGCGCGGCCAACCCAGTCGGCCCACGATACATTATTTTTAAATTTAAAAAAATGTTCAAAGTAAAAGACTCACTGGGGTAGCTCATGATATTTAAAAACCACCTGTCTTTATCCCCAGTATATCTTTGGTTGTTTGTAAAACACTTTATTGCATTCCTGTAGTCTTACTTTTGTCTTATCAGTTACTGTTTACTCACCTTGACATTGGTATTAATCACCTTGGCATTCTCTTTCAGTATGATTGATCACGTTCTGCTCAGTTATCATTTTTATGTAAAATTGTCATTTTTCTTATGTATTTATTTTAAAGTATCCAGCTATTTCCAAATTCTTTGCTCATATAAAAACCAAACTGTATGTGCATATATATGAGAGAATTAAAGATCTTTCTAGATGAGGTCTTTAGTTAGGTAGCTAGTTCGGTCTCTAGTAAGTGAGGAAGGATCTGACTGACAGTTGATTCCACACTCACTTGCAGTACATGTCTGTAGCCCAGGGAATTATGGGAGGCCAAGCCATGCCAGACCCCAGACCTCATGGGAACAACTCTCAGCTGGAGAGTTCTTGCCTTGGCAGGAACAAACTGCCTTACCTCAGAGCCAAGCTTATCCTCTAGTTGGAATCCATGACCCCGACCCTCCCTTGGCTAGATCTAATGATTTTTTGGGGGGTGGGGGTAGTTTGGGCCACACCCAGAAGTGCTCAGGGCTTACTCCTGGCTTTTGCCTCAGAGATCACTCCTGGCAGGCTCCACGGATTATATAAGATGCCAGGAATCAAACCTGGGTACTTGCAAACAAGGCAACCACCATACCTGCTGTACTATCACTCCAGCCCCCGATCTAATGAGTTTTCAAAAGGAGTTTTCTTTAAGTAAATTTTTAAGGGGGTGATATCCCATTTATTATACTGGTTCCAATTTTTAAGCTGTCAGGGTTGATTTTAAAAAAATATGCTTAGGATTAATATGGACTTCAGCCTGCCAAATTGCAACCTATTCATATTATTGTATTTAGCAAGCAGAAGCAGAAGCCAACTTTCACATTTCTTCATGTTCTTTGAGGGGAGACAGAGAAAAAACGATCCCGCTAACTCATCAGAGAAGAGATATATTATTGAATTTATGAGAAAAAACACTACATCAGTATTGCCTCTATATATCTTCAGCGTGCTTTGAGAATGCCTCACTCCATTCCTATACCACACCAAAACTATGAGTCTGTCCAGGGGATCAGGGTTCCCCCATCTGTTGGCCCCTGATTCTCTTACACCACAAAAGAAGTTCCAGCATCTTCCTTTTTCAACTTCCAGTGGTTGAAGTCAGAGAGTTCTTTGGGAACAAAAATACCATGTCTTTTCTTTCTCGGTGTTGCTGAGAAATTATAATTAGAGGTTTTCCTGTTGTGTAAAGGAAAGGAATTCCAGTCGTCCTGTGTCTGCAAGACTTCTGTTCTCAATGAATTTGCTTCCCTGTCCCCTTCTCTTTCTGCAGGTGATAGAGGGGAAGCTGGCTCCATTCTTGGGCAAGGTCATTAAATTTGCCACCTCCCACGTGTACAGCTGCAGCCTTTGTAGCCAGAAGGGCTTCATCTGTGAAATCTGTAACAATGGAGAGATCCTCTACCCTTTTGAGGATATTTCAACGAGCAGGTACAGAACATCTTGTCTTTTAAAAGTATTCCTGAGTATGTCACATGTCCTTTTTACTGGAACATATAAGGGCAACTTTAACCAAGTGCTGCACTTCTGTCTTTTACCCTGTATCAAATTTCCTAATTCATGGAGAACACTTTTTAAGCATTCTGTTTCCTCTATTTATTTTTCAACTCTTGACCTTGGTAATCTATAACAGTTACAGTAAAATCACCTTGCTCTCCCTTATTAGGTAGCAGAGATTGTTTAGATTCATTTTTCGAATGAATATTCTCGTGGGCACAAATCCTCACAAGCATTCTGGGGCCCCGTGATCGGGAAAATGCCGTCTTAGAGGCAGGTCAGAATGGACCAATCTAAGAATAAAAGTAGGAGACAAAGAGGAACAAGCCATCTGCCTCACTGCATACTTTTCTCCACAGATGTAATGCATAAAGTGATAAAAGGTTTAGGACTCAAAGGAGACAAAAGTGGGAGTTTGTGTGGCGTTATTTTTCTAACCAAAGTGATATTTGGGTATCATCACATTCATTGATGCTGATTTTCCCTCCAATTCAAAGCTGGGATTTTTACTCTTGCTTTTTCTTAAATGGCAAAAGGATACAGCTCACTTTGCCTTTCATCCCCCAAATGAAATAGGAATAAACAGTGTGTACGTATGTGTGTGTGCATATGCATGTGTGTACACAAACACTGGCCTCTTTGGGCATGAAGGCCATGGTTCACATCCCACACTGCCAGGCTCACTGACACTGTGGTTCAGACAGAAGGTGTCTGGCACGTCCTCAGGGAAAGGAAGCAAATACATTGAAGCTTTTAGAGTGAAGATATTAGGAGTTGACTCAGACCTCATGGCCTCTTTTTAAAGCCAAAGAGTATTTGTAAACATTCATGCATGTGCATACACACGCATACACACACACACACACACTCCACACACACACAAACACACTCCACACACACACACATACACACACACTCCACACAAAAACACACACTCCACACACAGAGCAGCCTCATGTCCTAAATACAAATACTTAAGCTTATATAGATTATGAATTTCTAAAATGTAGAGATTATAAACGTTTGTAAACTTTTAAAATACATACCACACAAAAACATGTATACAAATGTTTCTTGAAACTGTATTCAAAAAAGCAAAAAAGCAAAAAATAAAATAAAAAACAAAAAATATGTCCATCAGTTGATGAATGGATAAACAAATTGTGGTGCATCCATACATAGGAATGTTACTCAGTCTAAAAGGAACAAAATACAAACAGGTGCAGCATATGTCAGCCTTGAGAATGTGATTCTAGGTGAGGAAAATGAGACTCAAAAAGCCTTTTCTATTTTATATGCTATAGCATTGTAGCACTGTAGCACTTGTCCTCCCACTGTTGATCGATTTGTTCGAGTGGGCACCAATAACATCTTCATTGTGAGAATTGTATTACTGTTTTTGGCATATCAAATACGCCACGGATAGCTTGCCAGGTTTGCTGTGTGGGCAGAATACTCTCGGTAGCTTGCTGGACTCTCCAAGAGGGGCAGATGAATTGAACCCGGGTCAGCCACATGCAAGGCAAATGCCCTACCCACTATGCTATCACTCTGGCCCAGCTTTCAAATACACATATTTCTAATCATACCAAATACGCCATGTTTGGGGTTCTTTGTGTGTTTTTGGTTTTGGTTGTTGGGCCACACGAGTAGTGCTTATGGGTCACTCCTGTTTCTGCACCCAGGAATCACTCCTGTGGAGCCTATGGGAGGCAGGGGATGATCCCCAGAGAAGCAAGCCCCTTACCCTCAGTACAATATGGAAGTAGCAGGCCCCAGATAGTAATAACCTAATTTAAAAGGTGTTTGTCAAGGGGGAATGGGAGTGTGGGCTGGAAGGAGGTCTGGGACACGGGTAGGGGAAGCAGTCCCGGTGGCAGGACTGTGATGGAACAGGGCAGGTCAAAACCCAGCGAGCAGTAACTCTGTAACTCACGGTATTTTCATAAAGTAACATTTTGGGAGAAAAAAGAAGTAGAAAAGAAACAGGAATGAGAGTGCATGCCAGCTTGCAGGACATCGAAATGAAATGTGTGTCAGGGATGGGAAGTCAGGTGCTGTGGGTGTCTCTCATAGAGACCTCACAGCGACAGGGAAGACCCAAGAGAGGAGAGGCTAAGGGAGGCCGGGAGGATCGGCACACTTCCAACGGCCGCAGCGCTGAGTGTTACCCAGAAATGGAAGCCAGCGCCTTATTGAAATAAACTGAATAAGCAAATGCAGAGCCAGAGCAGTACTAGGGCAGGTAGGTTGCTTGTTTTGCATGTGTCTGACCTGGATTTGATCCCCTGAGCCCGCCAGAACCAGGAGTAACCCTGGTATTGCTGGATATGACCCCTCCTCCATCCCCAAATAAACAAAACTAGGCAAGTCCATAACCACAAGAAGTTTATTCGTGGCTGTCCAGGGAAGGAGAAAGAGATTCACTGCTCATGGGACAGATTTCTTTTTTGGGGGAACAACAGTGTTCTGCAATTAGATTCAACTCTTGTGAATATAGCTCAATCAGTAAATTGTGTATTTTGGTGAATTTTATGCTATGTGAATTAGAATGAAATAAAAAATATTTGATGAAAAATTAAACTTTGGGGGCTGGCGCAATAGCACAGCGGGTAGGTCGTTTGCCTTGCATGCAGCCGACCCGGGTTCGATTCCCAGAATCTCATATGGTTCCCAGAGCACTGCCAAGAGTGATTCCTGAGTGCAAAGCCAGGAATAATCCCTGAGCATCGCCAGGTGTGACCCAAAAAGAAAAAAATATAGATACGAGGGCAAGCCATATAATTTGAAAGGCTAGAGTACATGTGTTGCATGCAGGAGGTCCCAGCTTCTATCCACAGCACCATGTGGCACCTGACAACCACTGGGGGCCACCCCCAAGTAGTGTGCTGGGCTCAGCCCCTGAGCATTGCTGCCTGTGATCAGAAATTGAAATGAATAAAAATTAAATATAGAAATTTAAAATATGTGGAATGTAGATGGAATAGTGATGGGCACCTTGTGAGCATCAGAATGGAAATGTTCAGTCCCCCAGCGATCACTATAGCCAGCAAGTGCCCAGGTGCCACAGCTGGAGGCCATGACCCCTGGAGAGCATGTGGGTAAGCACGGCAACTAAGTGTACATGTGCCACAGTCAAGCCCGTGACACCACAACCAGCACAGCAAAAATCAGCAACAGCTTGGAGAAGTGAATAAGGAAAATACACTAAATATAAATCATAAAAAGAGAAGATAATGGGGCTGGAGAGATTGCATGGCGGGTAATGTGCCCTTCTTGCATATAGCTAACCCTGGTTAGATTCACAACACTGTTCAGAGTCCCCCAAGCCCGACTAGGAGTGATCCTTGAGCACAGAGTCAGGAGTTAGCCTTGAGCATCGGTGGCTGTGACCCAGCAACACCCTCCACAACACCACCACCAATACAAAAATGAATAAAATACTGAAGTACATATTTTCAATTAAGGAGGGATGGGACTTCAATCACCCTTATTTGAGTAGAACCACAAACCAAACATGGGTCAACTCTGTTCAACTTTCTTTTCCTTCCTTACTAATTGTTAAGTAGGAGGAAAGATCATGGATATGTAATTTTTTTCCTTTTTCCTTTTCAATTTTATTTTCATAAAGTTGTTCACAGTAATTTATTACATTCAATATTTCAACACCACTGTTACACCTTCCCTCCACCATTATTTCACATTTTCTCACCACCACCAAAGCCTGCCCCACAGGCAGATGCTAAATAAAGTATTTTGCATTGCTTGTTATTAATAGTATAAGATGTCTAAAACTTAAAATAATTGGGGTCCGGAGAAATCTCTGTAGTGAGTTGCTGTGTTCCAGGATTCATTTGTGAGTCTCTGGATCTTGGCCATTAATGCACTTAAATGGCAGTTGGCGGCAGTTCATGGAGTGACAGCCAGGACACTTATGGGCAGGTAAGTGGGGAGGGATGACTCATACCTGCCTCCATGTGGCTTGGAGTTTTCAGTCACTGGTCTGGCGTACCTGGATTTTTCTTCTGGAGGTTTGCAGCCACTGGGGTTCATTTTTAGTAGGCAGAGAGAGAAGTCCTGCTCCATTGAGGCACTCCAGTGAAATCAGCTGGGCACGGGTTAGGGAGAAATTTCTGTGATGAGCTGCCGTCTTCTGAGTTAATTTGTGAGTCTCATGGATATGTAATTTTAAGACATTTCCCTGGCTTTATTTTTTTCCTTTTAAATAATTTTTAATATAAATTTTTTTGGATTACAATACTATTAATAATGGTTTCTTATGGACATAATTCCAACACCACACCTAGAATGTCTTCCCTGACAGACAGAATGTATGGGATTGTATGGAAATAGCAGTAATTCTTGTCAGTAGGCTGCCAAGCATTTATAGATCTCATCATTTTAAATCATAGGCCAGTCCCCTGAGGAAATGTTGCTACCTCTATTTTAATAATAAGAAAACCAAGGTTCAGAGAAGGCAATTAACTTGGCCAAAAAGATAAGGCCAAAACTTGAACCCAAATATATCAGACTCTAAAATCCATGTTTGATTACTTTGGGTCCTCCTCCCCCCTCCGTTATTTATCATTGTATCTTCTGGAACCATAGTCTTCCAACTATTTTTTACAGAAAGCGCACTAAAATTTATTTTTGGAAAAAAGGATGTGACTCACTCATCAGAGAAGTCTACCCAAAACTGTCACTTTGAATTTTCCCTTCTTTTCTAGACTGAAAGTTTTGGCGGTTTCAAGGCTTTAGCCAGAGTTGGAGTAGGGTGTGCAAAAGACATACCGGCCTCTTGTGAAAATGGCCCCAAAGGGCCCAAGAGATAGTTTGGTGGGTAGGGCACTTGCCTTGCAAGTACATCATCAAGTACTCATAGGTTTGTTCCCTGGCACCACATGTGGTCCCCTGAGCCCACCAGGGGTAATTCC